CGTGCAGTCCTTGGATCGTTACGGATGTGGGCTCTGGTCATTGCGAGACCCCTGTTTGCACTTCTAATTTGTCTGTAGCAAAATTTGACATGGGAACGCTCTGCATGATTGGTTTAGAAGATTTCATTGCTTAAATAGTGCATATATTCATGCACAGGGAAGAAAGGAAGGCGCTAACTTGTAAGACATGAAGATGTCCAGCCTTTCTGAGGCAGAAGCATGCCAGAAGCGACACAATCAAGAGATGCTGATTACCTACAGAATTCTTTCAGAAAGAGCAGTGAGATAAAAGGACGATTCAGAAATACCATACTCATGAAGTTTGAACTTTTTTTGTACTTCTACAGGGACGTTTAGTTATTGTATGTATGTACACGTTCGATGAACCCTAGAAGGGGTCAGGGTCAGGCTTTTCTTACCCATTGACATTTATTTACTTGTATACATGTTGTTGACTAGTTGTTTCAAGTTGCTTACTCGTCCAAATGTTGTTTACCACTTGTTTGCTAGTTTTTTCGTGTTGTTTACTTGTTTACATGTTGTTTACCAGTTGTTTACATGTTGTTTACTTGTTTACGTTTGTTTACACGTTGTTTACTCGTTAACATATTGTTTACTAACTGTTTACTAGTTGTTTACGTGTTGTTTACTTGTTTACATGTTGTTTACCAGTTGTTTACATGTTGTTTACTTGTTTGCATGTTGTTTACCAGTTGTTTACATGTTGTTTACTTGTTTACGTTTGTTTACACGTTGTTTACTCGTTAACATATTGTTTACTAACTGTTTACTAGTTGTTTACGTGTTGTTTACTTGTTTACATGTTGTTTGCTTGTTTAAATGATGTTTACTTGTTTACATGTAGTTTACTAAATGTATACAGGTTGTCTACATGTTCTTTGTTAGTTGTTTACTTGTTTACCTGTTGTTTTCTAGTTGTTTGCATGTTGTTGACATGTTGTTTACTAATTGTTTACTTGTTTACTTGTTGTTCACTAGTTGTGTACAAGTGTTTATTGATCTAGTTGTTGTTGTGTGGTGACTATTTGTTTGATGACAATTGTTGTGTGATTGGGACGCAGGCCTTGGCTCAGGAAGGGAACTCTGACCAGAGTCAACCCTGCGTTGCGCAGTTTTCAACGGTCACGTTG